TTCCATCTGTATGGGATCTCCATAAAGATTTTTGACAAGAGCAAAAAAAACCTCCTCTTCCCATCTTGCAGGGAATGAAGGTGCCGCAAGGATTCATCCCCATCAAACTTCAATAAAATGATGAAAATTGTTTACCAATCACAGAAGCAAATAATCATTTTGAAATAGATTACGTGATTGAAGAAATTTACCCAGTCATCAGAACCTAAATTTCAAATATAAAATAAATTTAGAATTAAAAGTTAACTAGTTAATAAAATAATAAGTAATAAAAGTTATACAAAAGGCTTGTAGACTTAAAAATAAAAATAAATTAAGTTAAATTGAGAGGGTGTTTGGTAAAGTTTGAAAAATATTTATTTTGAAAGTATTATTTATCTTTCACAAATTTAAAATTTAGTTAAACAAGTTTTAAAATCGACTTTTAAAATGGATATTAAACAAAATTTTAAAAAAATTAAAATGTATAATTTTTTTAAAACTTACTTAAAATTCATTTAAAAAGTTAATTTTAAGTTTTCTCTAATAAAATTTTAAATTTATAAAAAATTATTTTTTAAAAAATAAACTTTTTTTTAAACTCCACTAAACACTCTTTGACTTAAATGTAAATTGCTAATTTTTATATTATTTTACTTTTTATGAAAAGAATATTCCATAAATTTTTCTCCTTGGGAGAAATTGTCATCCTTAAACAGTAGTAAAAACCAAGCATCGTTTCCGCGTCCATTTTTTAATGCAATTCCGGTGGTTCTTGACTCCATTCACATCACCGATTTGCCTCGACCAAACGCGTGGCAAAAGTTAAGAGTTTGAGGTTTGGGTCTTAAATTTGAATATTAAATAGCTCTTAAAGGTTAATAATTAATGGTTTTATTTAAATTATTATATAATAATATTTTATATAAATTTTTATCAATTATTAAGTATTTAGTATTTGATAAAAAATTTTTACTTAATAGTTTGATAGTATTAATTAACAATGAGAGCTCCATTTATTAGTTGATTAAAAAACTCCCTATATTAATTTTTTACTTCAACTGCCAGCTAGTGGATTTAAAAATTTAAATTATCATGGCAAATCTACATGTAAAATAATTAAGTATAAAGTGCAGGCTTAAAGTGCGACTTCTCTCCTTCCCATTTTCACATTAATTTTTTTTAATTCAATTTTAACATTAACTTGTTCATTTCCTCTCTTTTTTTACATTATTTAACAAAAAATTTACTAAGTCATAATTATAAATTAATTAATTTTAAAAGCCATTAATTTTTTTCTTTATATTTAAAATAAAAAATTAATTTCCTCAGTGAAAAATTAAAAAAGAGATGTTTCATTTGTAAATTGTAATTGCATAATCATAATAACAATAATAATAAATTTTTTAGTGTTAAGAAAAAGTACAATTAACTACTTTTTTAATTTATTCTTATTAGTTATTTGATATTAAACATTGTTAACTAATTATTATATAACTAAATAATTATTTAAATCAATATCCATTATTTGGTGTCTGTTACATGCTATTTGTTGAATTTCAATCATTGTACCTAGAATAGTAATAAGGATAAAATTGAAATAATAATATTTCACATCCCATATAAATAAAAAATGAAACAACTAAATTAAAATACCTATATTTAATAAATGAGACAACGAAATTGTAAAGAAAGGAGTATTAGATTATTATCAAGAGTTAGGATCCACTAACAAACATTACTTACAAAAAATATAACTATTCATCTCTCCTATAACGATTAAGATTTATCTATTTTTAAAGACAAATTATCTTTTTTATCTAGAAAGTACATATAAATGATAAATCTCAATCATTTATAATAGAGGGATAAATAGTCAAGATTTTTGTGTAAATATTATATGTAAGAGTTGTGTATTGGATATATACTACGACTATTATCAAATGTGCCCCCCAAAAAAATTCCTAATTTTATTGCCTGAACTGTCATTAAAACAGCAACAAGCAGATTTCCTTCTGCTCACAGATTCCATTTGTGCAGATCCTTCAATTGCATAGAAATTTTCTGCACTATTTTCCTTTTTCTTTTTTACAAAGAATGGGCAAAGCCTTATATTAATCAAAGAGGTAAAATGATTACAGAATAATTTCCACCCCTTATAACAGGATTTTGAGTGAGTTTTTGTTTGGTGGGGGTTTGTAGTAGGACTGGATTATGGTTGTTCTATTATTGAGAGGAGGTGGTGTTCTAGGAGCCGTCGTTTAGCAATACAATTGATCATTGTGATTTTAATTTTGTTGTCAGCACAATGTAGGATTTGGAGGTTTCATAATAGAAAGGATACATTCATTGGTGCTCAAAACTCTAATGGAGCAATTTTGAGAGTGGATTCGAAAGATCTAGTGTGGTTTATGTTGAAAGATTGAATGATGGTTAGAGGACTAGTGATTAGCGGCCGCTTTTGAATTTCAAGCAACTATAGTCTTAGGTGTATTATACGACCTTACTCGAACAGGATCTATTCTATAAACTCGTACCTCTGTATCCTTGAGTTCGAAGGTGTATTATAATAATATAACTAATATCAGAGAGTTAGGAGGATAGCTAAGAGCTGCACTTTTTCCTCATTATCTTTTGTTGGTATCTATTATTCAGCTACTTTGTATTCTAAAAGATTTATTAATTGTAATATATGAGAATTATAGATCACTAGTGTGCACTATTTTTCAAGAAGAAAATGTGCAAAACAAAGATTCTTGAACATGAATACTGGCCAATGAAGGACAGACTTAATTAAAAACATAACTTAAAATGAATTGTTCAGATTAAGATTAAGATTAAGAAAACTAATAAAGATTGAGATTTTCTCTACCTGGAAGGTATTTCCAACTCTTTGTCCTCGATTGAAGGAGTTTCCGAGATCTCTGTCTTCCTCGGCAAATCTGTCCCCAAACCGTCCGCCGCAAGAGAACTAAAAGAAAAATGGAAGAAAAAAAAAAATTTGCCCAGTTCAGTAATGGAACGGTAACACAAATCCTTTAAAGTTGGGTAATAAAATGACCATCCCTCCAAATTCCAGATAAGAATTTGTTGGGTATTCAACTCAAAGAGCCATGTTATTCATTTATCTTTTGCAACCGACCACAGTTTCGTCGGCAATTTGAGACAGGATTTAACCCAGCCCCTGAGAATATATTAAGATGGAGAAAGAATACCTGGAATCCATGGAGTTGAAAGCAAAACTCTTCTTAGAAGATCGATCGGAGCCCTTGCGGCAATTTGCCGTCCTTATATTTCCAACCTCTCTTTTTAAAGTTTCGAAGTTCCTATTATCATTTTTACCGTTTTGGTCTCTAACTTTTTCATTTGGTACCAAAATGGTACTTGAACTTTTTTGAATACCACTTTATCCCACAACCTTTTGTTTTAGGATCAAAGTGGTCCTTCCGTTAGTCCTTCCTTTACGTGGGACTGTTAAGTTGCCCCACGTTTGCCACATATAATCCCTCCGTCCTGGTTCAGGATCTAAGCCATGATGCAGCAGTGTATGGTAGTTTATACTAATTACTTCTTAGTTCGAGTAATTTGATTTATTTTAAGTAAGATTTTGAATTTAAATTTTATAAATGGAGAGATAAATATTTAGAGAATTTCTTTTCAATGTTTGACCTAACTTAACTTCACGTTAATTCAAATTTAATACGGTTTTTAAATATAAGTGGTTTTAATAAAAAAATAAGAATATAATTTTATATTTTATTTTATGACTTAGTATGGTGGTGCTATACTGTAATATATTGTAGTCTTTTTTA